TGTACCAGCTGTACAACAGTGCTCTGTAAACAATTGAGGCTGGACCATACAATCCAGTGAATGACATCATGAGCATCAATCTGGGCAGTTCAAATGCAATGGATGCATTAGTGAGCCAACCTGACCACCTGATCCCCCTTATGACGACAAGCATGGGTTGCTTAAGACCAGTTCTAACCTTTCTCTTTATTTGTTCTAAGCTGCAGTTATTTCTGTTACAAGTTTGATCCCACTGAAATATAAGTGGCATTTGTCATTTGCTCTGTCGTTCTGCTAACAAACATTAGCATGGTGATGGCTATGTATTTTAAATAGATTGTGTGAGCTAAAATATATCTCTAACAAGGGACATTCTGTCAAAGTCTCTGTGACAGAGGGACAGTGTGATATTCTGTAGAAAGTTCCTGATGTAGATTTTTGTCTACAAAAATGAGTAATAGGCTGACATCACTATAGGTGTTTATGTAATATAGTTGTTAAACATATGGCTGGAAACCAACATTTTTAAACTTATCCTATCTCACGGTACGCACCTCTCCTCTTCTTCTACGACCATGTGTGGAAACGTGCTGTAGGCTAAGTTGAATCAAATCTTACTGGCCTCTGACCCGCCCTGACCTCTGCCCCTACTCCAACATCAGCACCTGTCAATCATCTCCGTAAGCGTGCAGCTCTCTCAGATGATCACGTGACTATCTGTGCCTGTCATTCTCTTTCTTGTCGATACGTCGTGTGGACGTGTGCTTGTCTCTAAGAAAGTTTGATTGTGTTTCAACAATGGGTAAATCGAATCGTAATGGTTCTAAGAAGCGCAAACACTGTGACAATTGTAACAGTAATTTCTCAGCGGCGGACCCACATGCTTTATGTGTAGATTGTTTAGGTCTCAATGTTGCACTTTCTGTGCTGGCCTCGACGAAGATGCTTTCTCTGAATATCGCCGGGTAGCTTGTAGACGCATGTCAGATAGGGATCGCCGTAACCCATCTGTAGGTCCGTCTGCGTCTAAACGTCCTAAGGCAGAACGCCGTAAGAAAACTGTAGTTCGACGTTCGAAGTCCCCGTCTCCTACTGAAGATTTCCTAGGGGAGGCATCTGATTCTTACCTCAGTGAAAATCTGCGTCGCCTTTTCCGTCCGCATGCTTCTAGCCCCATCACTTTAGAGGACTCCTTACCACCTAGGGTTGTAGTGTTATCTACATCTGCTGTTCAACCCCATCCATCTTCGGTGGTAACTGTTTCTCAGCGACCTTACAGTCCTGCGGTGGGTGTTTCTTATGCGGCGCTTGGTTTGGTTCCTAACGTTACCTCTCATATGCCGCTTACTTGGAGTTCGGCGCTTTCCACTTCGATGGTTGGTTTTGCTTCTGCTTCCCACTCGGTGCCTGTGTCTATGGTGACACTTGGTTTTGGTACAGTGGATAGTTTCGGTTCAGCGCTTTCACAACCTCCGTTGGGGTCGACAAGTTTGCCGATGATTCCCCGTGCAACCCTTTCCACATCTATCCCTTATCCTGTACGCTGTGGTTACGGAACACCACTTTATTCTAGTGCATTGTTTACCTCCGAAGCACCGCTTACAATGGGACAGGTACCTGTTTGTAGAGCGCCGCTTGGTCCCGATTCCATGCTTTCATTCAGAGCCCCGCTTGTTTCCAGTTCGGCGCTCTTGTTTGCTCCCAGTTCGGCGCTTACTCACGGTGCTCCCAGTTCCGCCCTTTGTGTTTCCAGTTCCGCTCTTCCTCACAGAGCCCTGGCTTCAGCGCTCCCTCACGGTGCATTCGGTTCGGCGCTTGCTCAGGGTTCAGCGCTCACTTCCAGTGTGTCTGGTTCGGCGCTTGGTACAATCAGCTCAGCTCTGGCTTTCAGTGCGTCGCTTCCTACCTGCTCGGCGCTTGTTTCTTCTGATACTTTGGTTCCCGGTGCTCCGCTTATTCCCAGTGCGCCGTATGTTTCCTATACGTCTTCAGCTGTGGGAGCGCCACTTTGCGGGAGTAGTACTGTTTCCTCCTGTGGAACTGTCACAGCGGGATTTCGTTTCCCGCTTAGAGCGGCGAGTGTGAGGGACACTACGTCTTCATCGTTTCATCATGGGAACTTGTCTCAGTCAGCTGGTTGCTCGTCTTTTCTTGGTTGGGTGCCTCGTCATCCTTCCTTGTCTGCTCCTGTTTCGTCTTTGCCTCCTCCAACAGGGCCTGTGGCGAGACCTCTTTTACCAGTCTCCTGGAATCCGGTGTCTGAGGATTCGACTTCTCCACCTGTTGACTTTGACGCTATTGTGCAAGCGGTAGCCTCGGCTTTACGGCATCAGATGCCAGCGTCTTCCTCTGCTATTCAGTCATCTGGTCCTACGGTCACTCCAGCTCAACCTTTGGTGGATGTTCATCGTTCGGCTACGCCATCTCCCTCTTCAGATGGTACGTCGCCTTCGGATGTTAGCGTTGATGCTGTGGACACTCCTCAATTACTCGTCTGGATTGCCGCGTAGTAGTTTGCCTTTGGATTTGTTATCCAGTTTTGACATGAAGCCAGGTGATTTTGGTTCTATCACTTTCACGCCTCGCCCTTGCGTCACTCAAATGGCAGCGTCTCTGGATGAGGCTTTTTGTAACCTGAGGAAGGTTAAGGATGGGTTCATGGCTCCCCGCTTCAATTTAGCATCTGCTCATGTTCATGGCTTCTCTACCCTGATCGTCTCCCCTCCGGTGGATGATGATATTACATTGTTGGGAACCAAACAGAAAGCCTACTCGCCGTTCCTGGTCGAGGATCTTGAGCTCTTGCATTTGGATGGTGTCATCAGGAAGATTATGGCTCCACTCAACATAGTGTTGACGACAACTGAGGCGGTGGCTATGTCGGTTGCACATGCTACGTCCCATCAACAGGCATACATTCGGCCAGCGATGGTACAATTGCAAGAACAATTTCAGACCATTTTGGATCAGTTGGCTCACTTCTTTTCGTACGTCACAGCTATGCGTCGCAGGGGCCCTCTGCACTTATCCTCATGGGAGGATAGGTTCTGCACAGACCTTTTTCGTCAGCCGTGGTCTGGCAGGGCTCTTTTCAACGGGGCGATTAGAGATGTCACCACCAGAGTTGGTCAAGATGCTCATTTACAAGTGTCAGTGGAATTGTTGAAATTCCAACGTTTGCGTACCGTGAGAGAGGATAAGTATATAAATATACAATTTATATTAAAATTTTCAATATTTTCTCTTATAGCCATATATTTATTTAGATAAGTTTACATTTAACTGCAATGTATTGTTACTTTGTGTCTTGAGGATTTATGTTTTGTTGCTTCAGATCCTGGAGGACACTTCAACAAAGAATACCACACCACATCCGGTGTCCCTTTCATCATTGTGGACATCTGACATCATCCAGCGTGTGTGTCCAGCTCCCACCATCTCCCTTCAACAGTCCCTGTACATCTTGGCACATAGGTGTCTGCAGCTACACAGGTAGGGGACAATGCCCGACACACCATCTCCCCTCTACAGTCCCTGTACACCCTGGCACACAGGTGTCTACAGCTACACAGGTAGGGGACAATGCTTGACACACCATCTCCCCTCTATAGTCCCTGTACATCCTGGCACACAGGTGTCTACAGCAACACAGGTAGGGAACAATGCTTGACACACCATCTCCCCTCTACAGTACCTGTACACCCTGGCACACAGGTGTCTATAGCTACACAGGTAGGGAACAGTGCTTGACACACCATCTCCCTTCTACAGTCCCTGTACACCCTGGCACACAGGTGTCCACAGCTACACAGGTAGGGAACAAAGCTTGACACACCATCTCCCTTCTACAGTCCCTGTACACCCTGGCACACAGGTGTTTACAGCTACACAGGTAGGGAACAATGCTTGACACACCATCTCCCTTCTACAGTCCCTGTACACCCTGGCACACAGGTGTCTACAGCTACACAGGTAGGGAACAATGCTTGACACACCATCTCCTCTCTACAGTCCCTGTACACCCTGGCACACATGTGTTTACAGCTACACAGGTAGGGAACAGTGCTTGACACACCATCTCCCTTCTACAGTCCCTGTACACCCTGGCACACAGGTGTCTACAGCTACACAGGTAGGGAACAATGCTTGACACACCATCTCCTCTCTACAGTCCCTGTAAACCCTGGCACACATGTGTTTACAGCTACACAGGTAGGGGACAATGCTTGACACACCATCTCCTTCTACAGTCCCTGTACACCCTGGCACACAGGTGTCTACAGCTACACAGGTAGGGAACAGTGCTTGACACACCATCTCCCCTCTACAGTACCTGTACACCCTGGCACACAGGTGTCTACAGCTACACAGGTAGGGGACAATGCTTGACACACCATCTCCCCTCTACAGTCCCTGTACATCCTGGCACACAGGTGTCTACAGCTACACAGGTAGAGAACAATGCTTGACACACCATCTCCCTTCTACAGTCCCTGTACACCCTGGCACACAGGTGTCTACAGCTACACAGGTAGGGGACAATGCTTGACACACCATCTCCCTTCTACAGTCCCTGTACACCCTGGCACACAGGTGTCTACAGCTACACAGGTAGGGAACAATGCCGACACACCATCTCCCCTCTACAGTCCCTGTACACCCTGGCACACAGATGTCTACAGCTACACAGGTAGGGAACAATGCCTGACACACCATCTCCCTTCTACAGTCCCTGTACACCCTGGCACACAGGTGTCTACAGCTACACAGGTAGGGAACAATGCCTGACACACCATCTCCTCTCTACAGTCCCTGTACACCCTGGCACACAGGTGTCTACAGCTACACAGGTAGGGGACAATGCTTGACACACCATCTCCCTTCTACAGTCCCTGTACATCTTGGCACACAGGTGTCTACAGCTACACAGGTAGGGAACAATGCCTGACACACCATCTCCTTCTACAGTCCCTGTACACCCTGGCACACAGGTGTGTCTACAGCTACACAGGTAGGGAACAATGCCTGACACACCATCTCCCCCTCTACAGTCCCTGTACATCTTGGCACATAGGTGTCTGCAGCTACACAGGTAGGGGACAATGCCCGACACACCATCTCCCCTCTACAGTCCCTGTACACCCTGGCACACAGGTGTCTACAGCTACACAGGTAGGGGACAATGCTTGACACACCATCTCCCCTCTACAGTCCCTGTACATCCTGGCACACAGGTGTCTACAGCAACACAGGTAGGGAACAATGCTTGACACACCATCTCCCCTCTACAGTACCTGTACACCCTGGCACACAGGTGTCTATAGCTACACAGGTAGGGAACAGTGCTTGACACACCATCTCCTTCTACAGTCCCTGTACACCCTGGCACACAGGTGTCCACAGCTACACAGGTAGGGAACAAAGCTTGACACACCATCTCCCTTCTACAGTCCCTGTACACCCTGGCACACAGGTGTTTACAGCTACACAGGTAGGGAACAATGCTTGACACACCATCTCCCTTCTACAGTCCCTGTACACCCTGGCACACAGGTGTCTACAGCTACACAGGTAGGGAACAATGCTTGACACACCATCTCCTCTCTACAGTCCCTGTACACCCTGGCACACATGTGTTTACAGCTACACAGGTAGGGAACAGTGCTTGACACACCATCTCCCTTCTACAGTCCCTGTACACCCTGGCACACAGGTGTCTACAGCTACACAGGTAGGGAACAATGCTTGACACACCATCTCCTCTCTACAGTCCCTGTAAACCCTGGCACACATGTGTTTACAGCTACACAGGTAGGGGACAATGCTTGACACACCATCTCCCTTCTACAGTCCCTGTACACCCTGGCACACAGGTGTCTACAGCTACACAGGTAGGGAACAGTGCTTGACACACCATCTCCCCTCTACAGTACCTGTACACCCTGGCACACAGGTGTCTACAGCTACACAGGTAGGGGACAATGCTTGACACACCATCTCCCCTCTACAGTCCCTGTACATCCTGGCACACAGGTGTCTACAGCTACACAGGTAGAGAACAATGCTTGACACACCATCTCCCTTCTACAGTCCCTGTACACCCTGGCACACAGGTGTCTACAGCTACACAGGTAGGGGACAATGCTTGACACACCATCTCCCTTCTACAGTCCCTGTACACCCTGGCACACAGGTGTCTACAGCTACACAGGTAGGGAACAATGCCCGACACACCATCTCCCCTCTACAGTCCCTGTACACCCTGGCACACAGATGTCTACAGCTACACAGGTAGGGAACAATGCCTGACACACCATCTCCTTCTACAGTCCCTGTACACCCTGGCACACAGGTGTCTACAGCTACACAGGTAGGGAACAATGCCTGACACACCATCTCCTCTCTACAGTCCCTGTACACCCTGGCACACAGGTGTCTACAGCTACACAGGTAGGGGACAATGCTTGACACACCATCTCCCTTCTACAGTCCCTGTACATCTTGGCACACAGGTGTCTACAGCTACACAGGTAGGGAACAATGCCTGACACACCATCTCCCTTCTACAGTCCCTGTACACCCTGGCACACAGGTGTCTACAGCTACACAGGTAGGGAACAATGCCTGACACACCATCTCCCTCTACAGTCCCTGTACACCCTGGCACACAGATGTCTGCAGCTACACAGGTAGGGAACAATGCCTGACACACCATCTCCCCTCTACAGTCCCTGTACACCCTGGCACACAGGTGTCTACAGCTACACAGGTAGGGGACAATGCTTGACACACCATCTCCCCTCTACAGTCCCTGTACACCCTGGCACACAGGTGTCTACAGCTACACAGGTAGGGGACAATGCTTGACACACCATCTCCTTCTACAGTCCCTGTACACCCTGGCACACAGGTGTCTACAGCTACACAGGTAGGGGACAATGCTTGACACACCATCTCCCTTTCTACAGTCCCTGTACACCCTGGCACACAGGTGTCTACAGCTACACAGGTAGGGAACAATGCTTGACACACCATCTCCCCTCTACAGTCCCTGTACACCCTGGCACACAGGTGTCTACAGCTACACAGGTAGGGGACAATGCTTGACACACCATCTTCCTTCTACAGTCCCTGTACACCCTGGCACACAGGTGTCTACAGCTACACAGGTAGGGAACAGTGCTTGACACACCATCTCCCTTCTACAGTCCCTGTACACCCTGGCACACAGGTGTCTACAGCTACACAGGTAGGGGACAATGCTTGACCCACCATATCCCTTCTACAGTCCCTGTACATCCTGGCACACAGGTGTCTACAGCTACACAGGTAGGGAACAATGCTTGACCCACCATCTCCCTTCTACAGTCCCTGTACACCCTGGCACACAGGTGTCTGCAGCTACACAGGTAGGGAACAATGCTTGACACACCATCTCCCCTCTACAGTCCCTGTACACCCTGGCACACAGGTGTCTACAGCTACACAGGTAGGGAACAATGCTTGACACACCATCTCCCTTCTACAGTCCCTGTACACCCTGGCACACAGGTGTCTACAGCTACACAGGTAGGGAACAATGCTTGACACACCATCTCCTCTTCTACAGTCCCTGTACACCCTGGCACACAGGTGTCTACAGCTACACAGGTAGAGGAACAATGCCTGACACACCATCTCCTCTCTACAGTCCCTGTACACCCTGGCACACAGGTGTCTACAGCTACACAGGTAGGGAATAGTGCTTGACACACCATCTCCCTTCTACAGTCCCTGTACACCCTGGCACACAGGTGTCTACAGCTACACAGGTAGGGAACAGTGCTTGCCACACCATCTCCCTTCTACAGTCCCTGTACACCCTGGCACACAGGTGTCTACAGCTACACAGGTAGGGGACAATGCTTGACACACCATCTCCTCTCTACAGTCCCTGTACACCCTGGCACACATGTGTTTACAGCTACACAGGTAGGGAACAATGCTTGACACACCATCTCCCCTCTACAGTCCCTGTACACCCTGGCACACAGGTGTCTACAGCTACACAGGTAGGGAAAAATGCTTGACACACCATCTCCTCTCTACAGTCCCTGTACACCCTGGCACACAGGTGTCTACAGCTACACAGGTAGGGGACAATGCTTGACACACCATCTCCCTTCTACAGTCCCTGTACACCCTGGCACACAGGTGTCTACAGCTACACAGGTAGGGAACAATGCTTGACACACCATCTCCCCTCTACAGTCCCTGTACACCCTGGCACACAGGTGTCTACAGCTACACAGGTAGAGAACAATGCCTGACACACCATCTCCCCTCTACAGTCCCTGTACACCCTGGCACACAGGTGTCTACAGCTACACAGGTAGGGAATAGTGCTTGACACACCATCTCCCTTCTACAGTCCCTGTACACCCTGGCACACAGGTGTCCACAGCTACACAGGTAGGGAACAATGCTTGACACACCATCTTCCTTCTACAGTCCCTGTACACCCCTGGCACACAGGTGTCTACAGCTACACAGGTAGGGAACAATGCTTGACACACCATCTCGGCTTCTACAGTCCCTGCACACCCTGGCACACAGGTGTCTACAGCTACACAGGTGAGGGAACAATGCCTGACACACCATCTCCCTACAGTCCCTGTACACCCTGGCACACAGGTGTCTACAGCTACACAGGTAGGGAACAATGCCTGACACACCATCTCCCTTCTACAGTCCCTGTACACCCTGGCACACAGGTGTCTACAGCTACACAGGTAGGGAACAATGCTTGACACAACATCTCCCTTCTACAGTCCCTGTACACCCTGGCACACAGGTGTCTACAGCTACACAGGTTGGGAACAATGCCTGACACACCATCTCCCCTCTACAGTCCCTGTACACCCTGGCACACAGGTGTCTACAGTTACACAGATAGGGAACAAAGCTTGACACACCCATTTTCTCCCTCCTGGCCTGGCTACACTAGTGTAACATTGCTGCACTAGTGTAACATTGTACCCTGACCTGTCCTGCTAGTGTAACTGACAACACTGATGTAACATTGTACCCTCACTGACCCTGGCTGCACTAGTGTAACATTGTACCCTGACTACCTTGATTGACCTGACTCTACTAGTGTAACATTGTACCCTGACAACATTGATTGTCCTGGCTGTACTAGTGTAACATTGTACCCTGACAACACTGATTGTCCTGGCTCTACTAGTGTAACATTGTACCCTGACAACACTGATTGTCCTGGCTGCACTAGTGTAACATTGTACCCTGACAACATTGATTGTCCTGGCTGCACTAGTGTAACATTGTACCCTGACAACACTGATTGTCCTGGCTGCACTAGTGTAACATTGTACCCTGACAACATTGATTGTCCTGGCTGCACTAGTGTAACATTGTACCTGACAACATTGATTGTCCTGACTGCTACTAGTGTAACATTGTACCCTGACAACATTGATTGTCCTGGCTGTACTAGTGTAACATTGTACCCTGACAACACTGATTGTCCTGACTGCACTAGTGTAACATTGTACCCTGACAACACTGATTGACCTGGCTGCACTAGTGAACATTGTACCCTGACAACATTGATTGTCCTGGCTGTACTAGTGTAACATTGTACCCTGACAACACTGATTGTCCTGGCTGCACTAGTGTAACATTGTACCCTGACAACACTGATTGTCCTGGCTCCACTAGTGTAACATTGTACCCTGACAACACTGATTGTCCTGGCTGCACTAGTGTAACATTGTACCCTGACAACACTGATTGTCCTGGCTGCACTAGTGTAACATTGTACCTGACAACACTGATTGTCCTGGCTGCACTAGTGGAACATTGTACCTGACAACACTTGATTGTCCTGACTGCACTAGTGTAACATTGTACCCTGACAACACTGATTGTCCTGCCTCCACTAGTGGATCATTGTACCTGACAACACTGATTGTCCTGACTGCGCTAGTGTAACATTGTACCTGACAACACTGATTGTCCTGGCTGCACTAGTGTAACATTGTACCCTGACAACACTGATTGTCCTGGCTGTACTAGTGTAACATTGTACCC